TACCTGTTATGTTTAGCTTTTTAAAAAAATGCAATTCTTGAATTGAAGCTCTTTTAGAATAAATCATAAATACACTCCATTAAGAGACTGGAAATTTTATTTTCTTGATCCTTTCATAAGGCACTTTACAGAATATCACAGTTTCTTGTATGGCTTGGTTTATTAAAATAATGAAAGTTTAACAAAGCTTTTCTCAGGATGAGCTTTTAAGCATAAAACCCATGTTTTGGGTTGACATTTTTCAGTTAAGAAGAACAGTTAGCCAGAAATGAAACTACAGTGGTTGAAAATTCAAGGTTAGTATATTTGGGGACTTTCCTAGATCAGTAGACTTTGATGGATTAGGTTTTTGGTTTTATTTTGGGTAGTGATGCTGCCTATGTGCTCTTTTACAACTTGAATGGTAAGGTTACCAATGTATATATTGTTAATCATCAACCCTGTGCTACAAGGTTTAAGTCAATTTTTGATACAGATTTTGGAGAGTTTTAACTATTACCAATAAATCCTGAGGTATAGAAAACTGATATAATAGTTATATAATTCTTGAGATGAGGTTATATCTTAGAAAAAGTTTTAGGAATTTAAATGAAGTCAATATTCTATTTTTTTTTTTTAGCTGCTTGGATTTTCTTTTTCTTTTTTTTTTTCACTTTTCAATACAGCAAAACAGCATAAAACAGGGAAGTGAGAGAAGGAATTCATGCAGAAGCCTTGGAGGAGTGCTACTTATTGGCTTGTTCCCCTTGGCTTTCTTAGCCTGCTTTCTTATACAGCTCATGACTAACAAAAGCTTTTCGGGTGCCCGTCCTGAAGGACTTTCAGAGTCCACGAAAGAATGTACAGCCAGCTAGGAATCTATTCTGAGAGATATCAAATGAATCTATACATTCAGTGCTCTTTTAGTCCATCCACTTTATTATTCTAAGTAAGTTTCTTTCTGCCTCTGATCTCTTTGCTCTTCTTTGTTCTACTGCTTCTATGTCTACAGCTTCTTTTCAGCTCTCATTCTTAGCTCCTCTCTTGCCTGACCATCCATACATTTCTAACAGGAGACTCCTTACAATCCTGAGAAAAGTTTCAAAACTCTCAAGTTCATAACACATTCCTAAAACAGGTGATAAGGAACAGAGCCATTACCATGGTAGCAAAAGGTTCCAAGGTCTCAGGACCAGATGGAGGGGGTGTAGTGCCCAGTGACACAAACTATGAGACACAGCTTTTCTCAACAGACTTAACAAGTGAAGAATTGGCAGGCTTTTCTTAAGGTGTTTTGTGTTAGTAACTTTGGTAGACATCTGTGACTCTGACCTTGTGCATAACTCTAAGTTTTAAACTTACGATCTATTTACAAAGGCCTTTAGTTTAGTTTGAACTTGCTCTGAGGTAAAAATGAGCTAAATGTGGGCAGTTTGTGTTAGACTGAGGCAAGATTATTATTTTCTGTGTCAGTCTGAGCAAAAGGAACAAAGCAGCCTTTAAGTGTCTACAGTCTCATGGGACAATAGATCTGGCTACAAAGCATATCTTAGTATATTTTCTATATATCCAACTTATACAACTAAATGAAAAGTCATCTTCCTGACTACCCACAGATATATGTGCCCATAAGATTGAGGTATAATCATGAGATTACATATATACATTACAAGAAGACACATGATAATAGGGAGATAGCTGTTATTGCACAAAAATGCTGTGGAATGTCATTCTATGTGCTGTGAATATGTGTTGCTCCGGTTGGTTGATAAATAAAACACTGATTGGCCAGTAGCCAGGCAGGAAGTATAGGCAGGCAAGCAGACAAGGAGAATTCTACAAAGAGGAAGGGCTGAGTCAAGAGTTCCCAGCCAGACATAGAGGAAGCAAGATGACAAGGCAGAACTGAAAAAAAAAGTACCAAGTCATGTGGCTAAACATAGATAATAATTATGGGTTGATTTAAGTGTAAGAACTAGTCAGTGATAAGCCTGAGCTAGTGGCCAACCAGTTATAATTAATATAAACTTCTGAATGAATATTTTATAAGCAGGCCATGGGACTGTGGGTGAGAGACATTTGTCCTGACTATGGGGGCCTGGTGGGACCCAAGAAACATCCAACTATACAAGAAGTTTACAACAAGAAACAGCCAATTCATTCAAAATGCAATAACTCCAACATGCCTTGCATGATGGCTTAGTCCTCTACCAGAACCCTTGTTTCTGATAGGTTGACCTTTTGAACACTAGTTGTCACCTGCTGCATACTCCCATGGCCTTTTGCTACCAGCACTTCTCAATACATGACCACCTGCCCAGGGTTGGCACTACCCACAGTGGGTTGGGTCCGCACTAATCATTAATTAAGAAATGCCCAACAGGCCTGCCTCTAGGCTATTATGAGATATTTGTACACTGTATGAAAATGTATTGTAATAAATAGCTAAATGGCCAATAGCTAGGCAGGAGGTATAGGCAGGACTTTTGGGCAGAGAGAGGGAATTCTGGGGAGAAGAAGAGGTGGAGTCGCTAGCCAGAGAGAAAGGAAACAGGAGGTGCAAGATGTAAGCGAGGTAACATCACGTGATAGAATATAGATTAATATAAATGGATTAGTTTAAGTTATTAGAGTTAGTTAGGAACAGGCCTAAGCTATAGGCTGAGCTTTCATAATTAATAAGAAGTCTCCATGTCATTATTTGGGAGCTAGCTGGCAGACACAGAAACACTCATTACACTAGGCCAATATTATGGAGGCCATTTCTTGGTGGAGATTCGTTCTGTTCAAATGGCTCTAACTTGCATCAAGTTGACAAACAATATCCAGGACAGGAATATACTAGGGAAAGATGATGTGTTATCCAGAAAAAGAAATGGGTCATTTAATTTTTAATATTTAAGTATTAGTTGTGTCCAATGTTCCACAAAGGCTCATGTTCCAAAGCCTTTGTCCACAGGGTGGCACTACTGGGAGCTGGCCAAACCTTTAGAAAATAGGGTCTAATGGGAGAAAGATAAGTAGTGCAGAGGGGGAACCCCTAAAGGGGGATATTTGCACTACAACCCCTTCCTGTTTCTCTCTTTTGCTTCCTGACTGCTGTGAGGTGAACAAGCCCTCACCATGCATTTCCACCATGCTGTACTGCATCACCACAACCCAGAGTGATTGGACCAACTGACCCAGCCCGCAACATCTGGAACCATGAGCCAAAATAAACATTTCCTCTTTTAAGTTGATTATCTCAGATAGTTTACTACACTAATGGAAAGATGACCATCGTATCAGATGCAGGATTTTGATCTACAATTATATCTAAGGAAACAGCATATAGTTAACAGAAAAGTTTTCTTCAAATAGACTGGATTACTGTCATAGTCATGTGAATGGGACTACAGACAGGTACATCCTCTCAGAAAACAGCCTGGAAACAGGAGCACACATGCTCAGAGATTCAGGATGGGTCACAACCTTCTAACCCACCACAGAGCAGAGAGTTCCAGAGCACAGACACTCACAG